ACTTTCATTGAGGTCACTTTGTGGTTAGATTGCAAACTCACCCTCATAGGCCTTGTTTGGCCTATTTTGGTACCCTTTTGATAAGGTTTTGTTCACTTCAGCATTTTGATCTTTTCATCACCAAAAATCAGTGTATTTTAGTGTCAAAAAAAGTTGGTTTGAAGTCTTGCATAGGGGAGGGACACCCCTCTCCCCTTATGGTTTTGTTTCTTTGCTTTTTGGGCTCAAGAGGGTAGCATGTGTGCTTGATGTTTCTTGGCTTCATTCCAACATTTTTTTAGGCATCTTAGGTCATATATAACCTCTGTTTTTGGTCGGATTTAGGCCTCTTTGTATGCTTGTAACACTTGCTTTGTATTGCTCTACTTTGCTTAGAAGTGCACATCATGGTTAGGCCATGATTCTTGTGAGAATTGGTTTAGTTCCATGAAGTTCTTCTTGTGATGTTTTTCCATGCTTAAGGTTTATTGGTTATCCATTTAGCCATGCTTGACATGTTTGTTAGGGTTGCTTTGTATTTTAGCTTAAAAGCTTTGAGCATGATGGCCTCTAGCATATATGTTTGTGATTACCCTCTTGGTTTAATATCATCTAAGGACTTTCTTTTTAGTCCAAGAATCATGCCTACATGTGTGCATGCATGGTCTTTTTCATATCCTGAGGGTGTGTTCTTCCTATGCCTAAGAATGAGCCTTGGTGTATTTGTTTCATGGGTTTTATTTTAGTTGCCATATTAGGAGTTTTTGGGGTCCTATCTTGCATGCATAAATTCTGTTTTTACTTGTTTTAATCATGCCAAATGGCCATGTTGGTAGGGGTAAGTTGTCTCCTTTAGTGCCTTAGCTTTGGGACCATAAGTTTGCTTGTTAACATGAGTTGATTGTCTATCATTTTAAGCACTTTTGGCCACTGTTTTGAGAAGGGTAAGGGCCTGCCCCTTTGCCACTTCAAGCCCTCTTGCATGCTTGCTCCATGTTTGTTGCATATTTGTTCCATTAAGCTTTGTAGCACATCAATTCCATGGTCAATTTGCTCCATGTTTGCATCATGTTTGTATCTTGTGTGCTTGGTATCATACATTTTGTCATGATAGTTGCATATTGCTTGTTGTGTTTTACATCTTGGTGGCATGACACATTTGAGGCTTGTGAGCATTACATGCATTGCATTTACTTGGTTTGGGGTCGAACCAAGTGCGGGGGTCAAGGACCATTCATACTTCAAGTGATGTAATGTGCCTTGATCCCCGGTCATCGGGACCTTTGACTCCACCTTGATAAGGCCCCGATTTTCATGTTATTTGTTGCATACATTTTCATATCAAATGGCAAATTCGATCCTTTGACTCACCATGTACCATTGATGGTTCAAGATCAAAAGTCATGCTTCTTTGAGTTCAAAATATGATAAGAAGTAGGACCATGCTTACATGTGTCCAAAAACTCCATGCTATGCACTGTCTGTTCTCTGTTTGCTGTCAGATTGTCTTCTGCAGGAATTTTTCTGCCGACCGGCAGAATTTGTGCCGACTGGCACTATCTGGAATGCCGATGAATCCGATAAAGTGCCGATGATAATTTTGAAGTGCCGGTGGCAATTCTGTCTGGCTGGTGGTGCTCTGCAGGATGCAAGGAGCTTGTTCCAGCACTTTGGCAATTTTCAGAAGGACAAGGCAGTACAAACAGAGGCGACAAGAGTATAGTACGGGTTTTCCGGGCAGGACGGACTCGAGCATGCATCATCCGCGCACCCCGAGGCAAAGGCTGTGGCTACCCTCTTCTTTCCTTTTGCTCTCTTTTTTTAATTAATTAGAGAAATTTTGTAATAATTTTATTTGTTCATTATTTTGGGACTGTAATATTAATTCGAACCCTCTGAGTGAGGGTAAACATGTAATAAGTGTGGGTGAGTGTGTGTATGTCTTCAATCCCCATTTCTTTCTTCCCTTTTATTTATCTGCTTATAATGGTAGATTAGGGCATTTTTGAGATTAGCACACCTTATGATATGCACGCGTGCATTCATGCATCTGTTGGCATGCACCGGGCTCGGTACATCATACTAACCGCATTCGTATTTTCAAATTCCAAAATTGAATACATGGAACAGTTGGTTGCATATCATATGCCATATTTAGGTTAACCGAGCCTAACTAAAATTGCATCTTGTATGTGTTGCATTAGGCAAAATAACATGAACTAGGAGACGCATATTTGCTAACTAGTTTATTGTTGGCACGGAGTAAAATGTAAGTGGTTATGCTTTAGCATCCAACATGCGTGTGAATGTTGCCATAAAAGTATGCTTGCCATGCGGCTAAGTGTTTACATGAGATAAATTGCTTGAATGCCTGTGGGTGGAGGTCAAACTGCTTAAATTGGGATAATGCGTTAAAACTATATTTGTTTTAAGCCCGCTAGAATAGTGGCAAAACCGTCTTTTCTAAAAAAACCCACTTGAGGGTGGCAAAACCTGCATTTTAGCCTACTTACGAGTAGCAAACCATTTTCAAAATGAACATAGAATGTTTTGTTCCAATTTGGGCAATTTGGTCTATACTTGTTTGCTGCGCGCATAACATAGTAATCTTAGGCTAATAATTGGAATAAGAATACATAAACGTTTTCAAAACTGGATATCACGGTTAATAGAGGCCGGTCTTCGGACCGGGCGAAAGGGGGTGCTCATAGCTGACCTTCCCCGTCGTACCCAACTCCCGAGCCGAGACAACTCGGTGATGACGGACAGTGGCCTTCGGCACCGAGTCAGGGTTTCCTAAATTTCCCATTTCAAAAATATTTAGGTGGCGACTCTGTATCTGGCAAAGCAGTCCATGTTTTGGCACTACTTTTTCAAAAAAAAATCTGTTTCTCAAAACGATTTGCCAGATTTGGACTCTTTGGTTCAGATTAAGAACCGTGACACAAATCGAGTCCGAACTGTAGCGAGGTCCCCCGCGGACTTGTTACACAAACGTGCATGAATTCAAATCAATTCAAAGCTTCATTTGATGCCCCAGAGAGCCAAATCTTTCAAAAACATGATGAGTTCATGGTCTCTTGTAAAAATATGAGCATGCATGTACAATTTTTATGAAGAACAAGCTCAAAAATGCAAGAGTATGCCATGCATGCAACAATTAAGCTACAATTCAACATGTAAGAGCCATAACTTGGCTCAGGGCTTCAATTTACTATAAATCATGCAGAATTTACTTAAAGTCAAGAACAAAAGAGTGGTTACTCTACCTTAGGTCTTGTATGCAAGACTAGGAGCTCAATTTAGCAATCTACACTTTCAATTACCAAGCAATTCTTCAAGTTTCCAAGCAATTCAAGGTGAATTCGTTCTAACTCCCTATTTCCCTCTCTCTAGTCGGTGATGTACTCAAAAGAAATGGCTGAGCAAATGTTCATATCAGGTATAAGGCTCAAATGTGTATGAGATAGTGGCCCACTAAGTGGCCTAATGGTAATTAAGTCAAATTATGCAATCTATCAATATTTAATCTAATTCAATCATACCTAATCAGTTTTCAGATAATTACACCATAAAATCACATAGATCACAATGATCGTAAAACACTTAACCAATTCCCGGTTCGGCCGCCAATAAAGCCTTCAATTAGCAGTTTAAACACTAAAATACGAACAGATCAAATAAGCAATCAACAGGTAGAATGCAATTCAAACAGATGTACTCAATCGATTCAGTTTCAAATTTCAGTCAGTCAGTTCAGTATTTCAATCAGTTCACTTATCAGTCATAATCAGTTCAGTTTAACGGTAATCAATGGTTATTCGGTAATCAGTGACGAGGGTTATTACAGTGGGGGTGCTCATTGCATGACTTTCCCCTCTCGTATCCAAGTTCCCAAGCCGAGGCAACTTTGGTGATAACGGACACGTGGCCTGAGACACGAGTCAGAGTTTCCTAAATTCCCCCAAAATAAAATATTTAGGTGGCGACTCTATATCTGACAAAGCAGTCCATGTTTGGTAGTTCTTTGTAAAAATCAATTTTTCCAAAACGATTTGCCGGATTTGGACTCTTTAGTGATTTATCAGTCTTGCATTGCACTTTGCGAGATTAGATTCAGAACCGTGACATTGAGTCTGAACTGTAGTAGCCTAGAACAAACAAATTTCGTGCCCTCGCAGCGCAGAGCCTGGAGAGTTCTCGGGACACGTTTACACATATGTTTAATTGCAAAACTAAATTTGAATACATGGTTGAATTGATTAGAATTCTTCCATTTTACTATAAGATTTAGACTCTTTTTTTTTCACAACTGTTACACTTAATATTTATTCAAGACATGGCCAACAATATATCAAAAAAATTAAATTAAATTAAAAATAAATAATAAAATAACAAATTGGGCTGAGTATATGGGCTTAAGGTGGGCTTAGCCCATATCGCAGCCCTAAATGTAGGTTCTCAAACAAAAGCCACAAAAAAAAACACCACCACACCACACCGCTGGTGAAGAGGGCGGTGTGTATGTGCGGTGGTGTTCTCAGCTTCCACAGAGACCCAAAATTTGACGCAAACTACTCAACAGCCGTAGCTCAAACACTGCCTCAGAACCCTCTCTCTCTCTCTCTCTCTCTCTCCTCTGGTGGGATAGTCTTCAAAATTGCTTCTTTGGCTCTATCTTCTGAAACTGAGTTATACCCACCACATCATTTTTCACATTCCATAGTTAGTTTGTACTCGTTCTTGTAGAATTCGCTTTATCGTTAGTCATATTGTATTGGGTTTATCTCTTTATCTCATCAATCACTCGCATGGTCTCGCCTAGACTGCAATGGTGGAACAACACTTTTTGTTTCTCCGACCCCAGAGAATTGGGATAAGTCTAAAACTGGAATTGTTTTTGATTCATGGGTATGTGCTTTTTTTCGAAAAGAAGATCATTTAGTTTAATTTCCACAACTTTATTGGAATTGGGTTTGTTTCAGAATCAAGTTTGGTTCAGAGAAAAATAGTTTTGTAAAATGTATAGCTGTGCTTCTCTTGCTTTGTTGTCAGATGACACAAGTGTAAAATGTATAGCTAATCAAATTGTTGTTCCAAGAACAAGTGCGAAAATTTGGAAAAAGCGTAAGCTTTATCCGGTTATAGTCAGAGTTTTGAAGTCTTTGAATTGGATGGTTGCAAGAAAAATTAGGTTCTCGAAGATATATGGATTATCTCATTCAAGTGAGGCATTTAGAATCATTACACGTGCTTGCCTTAGTGGGAATGGATAGAGAAGTATATGCTTTCTTAGGGATATTGTTTGCTACTATGAAAAAACCAATCTTGATTTGTTTGAATTGTTCCCTGCATTACTGGATTCGCCTAATCATGCTTCGAGATCAATTGTTGTATTTGATGTACTTGTAAAGGTTTTTGCAGCAAATTCGATGCTTGAAAATGCAGTTGATGTGTTTCTGCAGGCTAAGAATATTGGGTTAAACCGTAGTATTTTTCATGCAATTTCTTATTTAAATGTTTGGCAGAGAGCAAAAGAGTGGAATATCTTGTAAGTTTATTTGAGGAAATAAAGAAGTCTGGACCATTGCCTAATGTACGCTCCTATACCATTATGATGAACTTTTACTGCAAAGGACATTATGCAGTAGATATTGGACAAGCCGCTGGAATTCTGGAAGAAATGGAGAGTGGGGAAAGCCCAACTGTTGTAACATACAGCACATACATTCATGGGCTTCGTAGAATTGGATTTGTTGAATTTGCTTTGAACCTCATTCGAAAATTGAGGCAAAAATATCAGCCTGTTAATAGTTACTGTTATAATGCGGTTATTGATGGATTTTGCAAAAGAGGCGAAGAGGATGAATCTTGAGGGTTATGGAAGAAATGAAGAGTTGTGGAATTTCACCAGATGTGTATAGTTATAGCATTTTAATTTTTGGGTTCTGCAAAAATGGAAATGTTGAGAAAGGTCTTAGTTTGATGGAAAAAATGGAATCCAGTTACTTAAAACCATCGCTTGTTAGCTATGCCTCACTCTTAAAAGGTTTCTGTAATAGTGGACTCATGGAAACATCACTGGACATGCTCTATAAACTCAGAGCTTCGGGTTATAAATGCGACCAGACTGCTTATGACAAATTAATCAACGGTTTCTCTATGCAGGGTGATTGGATACTGCACAGAATCTTTTCGAGGAGATGGCCAGCAATAATTTGGTTCCTAATGCTTCTAATTTTGAGAATATGATTTATGGGTTTTGCAAGATGGCTCTTTGGATAAAGCATTGGAACTTTTCAATATCATGCTGGAAGGAGGTGTGGTACCCCCAACGTAGTCACTTGCAATTCTATTGTTCATGGCTATTGCAGGGAAGGTCATTTGTACGAAGTTTTGCAACTTATAAACGGAATGAGAGACCAAGGCATTCTTCCTAACAGGTGTATCTATAATGCAGTTATTAGCAGGCTGTGCAAAGAAAAAAACCAGAAAAAGCATGGGAGCTTATCCCGGTAATGCTTAAGAGTAATCTTTTGCCTGAAGCTGTAATTTACAGCACCATTATAGATGGATTTGGTAAACAGTTAAATTCAAAAAAAGGCCTTCATGTTGTATTCAAGAATGTTAAGAGTTGGGGTTACTCCTGATCTAATTACATATACAATTCTCATCAATATATTGTGCAATGAAGGTAGAATATATGAAGCCTGTAATTTATTTGAGGAAATGATTTGGAATGGCCTGAATCCAGATAAGATTTCTTACACATCAATTATAGCTACATTTTGTAAAATTGGAGATATGAAGAAGGCTTGGGGATTGTTCAGTGAAATGTTGCAAACAGGCCACTTGCCTAGTGTTTTGTTACTTACACTTGTCTAATCGATGGATTTTGCAAGGCAAATTTGGATGGACATTGCTCACTTGTTGGCAGATGAACTGAGACGAAAGAAAGTCTCTCCTGATGTTTTCTCTTACAATGTTCTCATTGCTGGGTATCGTAGACTTGGAAATCTTGATAGAGCTCATGAGTTGTTCAAAGAAACGAGGAAGGAGGGTATTTTTTCCAAATGATTATACTTTTAACATTCTAGAATTGGATGCTGCCTCAGTTAAGGAAAATTAAGAAGCAGAGAAAATGATTCGACGAAGACCAGATGGTATATGCTCAGACATATTATGTTAATTACCTCTAATATCTCCATTTGTATATGCTATGACATTTTTTTTGAAGTTCTTGCTTTTCTGAGCATTTTTATCTCTTGAGGTTTCTTCTTTTCTTGATGTGTGTGAGAATGCAACTCTTTCATTTGCATAACAACAACATGCTAATATGTAATATACTTTTGTTTTCAAAATTGATAGAAACATGTGATACTGTCTCAATGGGACTTGACACACATTAATTCGGCATCTGCTATATAATTATCAGCTCTTCTTTGAAGATGATATTGTTATAGTGTTTGTTTGGTTGGGCCATGAAACAAAAATATTTTACCTTTGGGCTGCTTAGGAGATCTCTCAATATGGTTTTCTGAATTTTTTATGAAGTTCGATTACAAGATGTGCGGACTCAATTCCGCAATAAAGAGTGAGTGTGTTTCGTGGACGAACTGCCATGCTCCTGGAGATGAGGGCCTGCACAATAAC